CTTAACAGAAGATGATTTCGTAATACTTGGATCAAAACATCTAACAGTTTATTTTACAGATCAAAAACCAATAAATTTTCTATTTACAAAGAAATTCAATCCTAACCATAGAGTATATAGATTTCAACTCATTTCAATAAAATTTCGAAAGCTACATATAGTTTGGACAGAAGGCAAAACTCTTGCTTTACCATACACACTTAGTTGAAATACACCAACCGAATTACCTACACGAAAAACAACTGTAGAAATAACGCAAAAAATAAAGAGTTTTTATCGCAAAAGAGGAAACATCACCACGATTAGAATGTAAACACGCAGTAATCTTTGACTCCGATACCACACAAGTAAATACCTTAGAACAGTTTCCACTATGTCTAGATTGTCAAAACAACCATTACGAAGTAGATTAATTAGGTGAAGATACATTTAAACCTGTATATTCATCAAGGATAAAAAATAACACACAACTGAAAGTATATCAATAAAACTGTAACAAAACACATCTTTTCCGTTAGTAGAAATAGAAAATTTAATGGACATAATGATTTTGTCAGGCCCTCCCGAATCAAGCCAAAAACACACAATCAATAAAAACTTCGATTTACAAATCCCCTAGATAATATTCCCATATCTAAGAACAAAAAAATAAAAAAATGTTGCTCCACAACACAGAAGCTTTAACACAGTTCAGTCAATACAGAAATAAAAAGACCTTGACTCTATAATCAGGCAGCTAAAATTTTGGCATAAATATAAAACAAAACCCTTTAAGGCCGTTTTTACAATCCTGGCAAACAAAACATTACTTGGATATTTTCAAAAATTCAACAATATGACAAAAAAGACAAAACTGACATCCTAGAATAATATTACCTGGAAACAAAACTACCCTGTTTACCGCTATGTCTAACACTAAGTCCAATTCGGAAAAGGACGTTTCAATAAATGTCACTCTCCAAATTAGAAATACTACATCATTTATGTGAATTAGAAAGAATACAAAAACTATAAATTCTCGCTTTAGCAGTACTAACAACACCTGACGCAGGCTATCTCTTGTCACTTACGAAGGAAACATCCTTTGGTATTACACTTGCACTAAAAAGTTCGCCACTTTATGTTTTGAAGACAAAACATGCTACCAACGCATACCTATGTTTTATAAGATTAAAATACATTTCTTAGACACCTTATCACACACAAAGTTTTTTGGGATACAGCTAACCCATGTGGATCGAAAAATAGCCACAATATAGTACAGCTTAACCTATACAAAGATAAATTTTATCTTCTAACTCCATATCCCACCTTAATGCCACCTTTAAAAAAATTCTGACCTGAAAGCATGCGCGCAATCGCTTGTAACCTAAACATAGACCTACAATCAAAAAGCATTTACTCCGAAAAAGATATACAACATCAAATTCCAACACAACAGTTTCAAGAACTTCTTACTAAAATGGATACAATCCAGAGACAATCAATCGATCAAAATCTACAAAAACTCGCTACAAAATCAGACAACTACCAACAAGACTACAGTGGATATTATAAAAACACTAAAAAACTATATACCTAAATGGAGAAAAATATTGGCCGCAAGACATTTTACAAACAATTTTGAATATAAAAAAGAACTCCTAGCATTTCTAGGATGACCCCACTATATCTTAGAAAAACTGACTATATTATACGCAAGGTTCATATTTATAGACTTCCCCTTCTCACTATGAAAAAAATTCTATTATACATGCGCAAAATACACATATGTCAACAGACAAGCTACCTTTGCACGCAATTTATTTGAAGGCTTTTTTGGAATGTTTTCCGACACTTTTAAACAAGATCCTTCTTAACGCACAAATTTGCGATATAAAAAAAAACTATCTACAAAACTAGACACATAAGATACTCCGCATGACAATGCAAAAACGGCATCTAGAGCGACGTCACATTTACGCAATTTACAAAATCATCACCTTCTGTCAATAGTCCCACAAAGTTATAGAAATACACTTTTGTCCACCGAACGGATACTATACTCTATTGTTTTATAACGAAGCTCCATATCTCATATAACACTCCAACAACCCACTATTGACGACAAATATGAGCAATTTGTTCAACAAACGCACACCCTAAAATTTTGTTCTCTAAGCAAAAATCTTTTCGCCCACCAGCCCACCATGAGCCGCCAAATTGGATCCTTCAACCGTTCCATAACTATCTATCCAAATTTCAACGCCACGACTCCTTTATTACAATTTCAGACCTCACCTCTTATCCCTTACTCAGTTTATCTTCTAAAAACCACGCTTGGACTCAAATTAGTCGAATCAAACGGTTTTTGAAACCATTTCTAATTCTAATAACTCCCATATTGAAACTCCTGATGAATTCCTCGACTCTGAGTTAAGACCCACTAATTTTTCCCAACCGTTTTTTCAACCCATAGCACCACCTTTTCCTGTTGAACCCTCTCTTTCGAACTCCTCGCACACTCACGCTACCCTTATTCTTTGCCAACTCTGATATAATGCACCCTCTGCACCTAGATGACAAACTTGAGCATGATTTAGATGAATTTATTACCCTCAGCATCAAATTCATAACACAAATAATTCAGTAACAATTCATCACCTAACCCACTCAGCATCCAACTCTGAATTCACTATCCCTTCTCCCTCACGCGTGCACACAGAATTTTTATGAAACGACAACACCCTAACGCTAACCCACAATTCCTCATTAGCCGCTCAAAATCATCCGGAATTTCTCCCATCACCCACATCATACTAATACACCTGAAGTTTGATACTTCACTTTTCCTTTTTCCTCCAATGTACCTACTACAACGGCGAGAACGTAGTCCAGAGAACACAATAGGTAGATCAACTTTCCCTACTCCTCACACTTTCATGGATTTCCTACTATCACTCTACTAACCCACTAAAAGTACCCCTCAGAAAAAATCTCGACGATAAATAGATTCATTGCACAAAAAGCTAACACTAAATAGATTCATTGCAAAAACAGCTAACAGATACCCTATTAACCATTACGATCATACTGTTCTAAGATTTATGAAAGAATCACCATATGACACTGACCTTGACATCAATAAACAGTTAACCTTAAATTTTCTCTCGAAATCAAAAAACTTTTTCCATCTCGAAACTTTACACTAACACGGTTGGAAGGAATTATCACTCAGCTTTAGCTAACAAACTCAGCTTACTAATGCGACAAAATCATTTGCATGTTTGAGAAAGTCTTACAGTACCCAAACCAGGTATAACCCAGATAAAAACTGGATAAAATATTCTTTTGAAACCCACTTTCAAGTTCTATCAAAAAACGATTGAAACACCAAAACACCAAAAGAGCAACACATAACATATTAATCTGTTTTTGATAAAAATATTTAACCAAAAAAAGACAAAGAGAAAATCACCTGATAAAAAAGAACAAAAAACCGAACACAAAAAAAAGACTCTGCTCAGAGAGTCGATAAAATTAAACTCCCGCAACTGGCCTAACCCACCACTTAAGGATGTACTGAACATGCTCTATAGCCAAACTCACCCCACGCGCTACACCACGCTTGTAACATGCACTCCTATTTTTGACTAGAGTAGCTCCAGGGTGAACGACTCTTTAAAATAAGCGATTTAGTAAAAAACGCTTTAGCGACAACAAATTAATAGAATTCATAACTAGAACTGATCTCACTAACAAGATGCAGATATCAATATACAATATAAAAAGATTTCTTAGACCAAAAGAAACGAGCAGCAAAGGGAGATGAAAACTCGATGACATTCCGACTCTGTAATTGCAAATCTTCTGGTTTGTTGCCGTGGTCACAACCACCACAGGATTTGAAGTATGAAACCAATGTCAAGGCAATGGTACTCATTAAAGAACAACAATTGCCAACTCGATGTTGAATTCACATACGAATCGTAGTCACTTGACGCTTCACACAGAGAAGTCAAACCCTATCTCGCTACTCGATGAATACTTGAGAATGCACGTACTCTCGCTCTAACTTAACGAAATCAACACATCATTGTGTAAATCTGAAATCCTGACACGACCACTCAACACGATCACTAAACCCACTTCTGAAGCAACTGTACCTCTTTTTTCTCTACGAAGACAACTAAGCCTTAGCCCGAGAAACTGTTTCTTTCTCCTTTTCACGCAAGCACTGCTTCAAACTAATCTACTCCAAGAATCAAGAAACTTCTCCATCCATCCTTCACAACAACCAAGATTTAACTGAAAAAATTTCTAAACCCCGCTGGATGGGTGGAGCCAGTTTAAGACTCGTTTTTACGGCCAATTATAATATAGATAAAACTATCTCTCTAACTTACTTCTTACTAACCAATCATGATCCATAAATAACACTTACAAAAGTTTGTAAGGCTGAAACTGTTTATAGTTTTAGCCAGAACAGATTTAATTGATATCTTATCTCGCCAATACCAGTATACACTAGATCTATTGAGACTAGGATATATAAGAGTAAGATTAAGATCGGTATTAGATTAAGAAGTTAAACGAATCTCTCCGGTCGAAAAAAAGATGGCGTGACGAACAGACTGTGTACCTGATCTGAAAATATCTATGAGTAATTCACCCCGGACTTAAACTCATATTTAGCCAAAAACAGATAGGATGACATAAAGACGGCAACTTGATCAGAAAATACTCTACGAGAACACCAAAACCGGCTTATCGCTTTATTGAGTATTTCAAATGCCTTTATTATTACTCAAAAGTACTCCCGAAATCGGAAAATATTGTGATAAAGCTCCTTCAAAGTAACTAAAATGATAACTTAATTGACAAGGCATAAGGAAGCAGGAAACAAAGTTATTATAGGCTTCAACCTTATACCCGCTGTTTTTCAGCTTGACTTGGGCTACTGATTAAACAACTGCTAATACGCGTATCATCGATTAGAAATTGAATATAATTTAACTTACCCGTTGTAGTTTTCGGTATGTTGAAGTTGTCAGCTGATATAAATATGGCCTTGTTAGCTGGCACTCGTACAGTTGTTGACCACTGACAGACGGAGCGTGGTTGCGGTTCACCCTCGTCGCTTCGGGCATGTTGTAGGCCATTGTCCCCCATACCAATCTGCAACATGCCCCCATTACCCGTAGCATCTTGAAAAGACTCCACCATACAGCCTAAAAACCACTGATTAGCTTTGTTGAGTTTGAAGATATCTTACTTAATCAACTAACTTTACCACCTGTAAAAAACCTCTGGTATTATTTAATGACATCCATTTTCGGTCAACCAACACTAAAGTTTTGCTAAACGAGGCTTTGGCACCTTTGTATAATTTTTTTGAAGAGGAGCACGCGCCAAAAAACACACTTTAAAAAACGCACTTTATCGCAGAGCTTTCAGTTTAGAGTGCTGATAATCAATTATGTCTATAAACGCCTCTATGGGCGATTGGATTACCCACTTATTTGGTTCATATTTTAAACTATGTTTCTTATTTGAAAGTCAAATCCCATTTTCACTTATATCCTCGCTTAGGCAACATCAAATATGACAGAAGATTATTGTTCCGACTTTCGATACGAAAGTAACGGAATATTTGTGCTCGGGGTGGGTTTTTTTTTCTTCAGACAAGTTTCGACTTTTTAACTAGCCATTTTGGCGGAATTTTTTTATATCATTCAAAATGTATTGTTGTTCTGAGCTTAAATTTGAAAAGAAATTTCACCTGTGATCTTTTTTCGTAAAATTATGGGGTTTAAAGATTGCCATTTTGACCAATTTGCCAATTTGGGACAATTAACGCGCGATATATTTCGCGCTATTAATGCGTAAGCGGAGATTTAATCCGTCTTAGAAATTGTTCCAAATTGGTTGAAAGAAGCTGATTTGCCATAATTGATTTGTTACAAGGAGCGAAATCTATCCTTTTGCACTTTATATGGCGTGTGGGGGGATAATTTTCAAAAAAAAAATCAAATTTTAGAATTTTTTTTTTGTAAATTTATTTTTTTAAGTGATTTTACTGCTCCATAAACCTTAAAAGGCAGTCGGAACATTCATGGCTTTGCCCTGATACTAGCAGTCTGGTTTTCTTATGTCGACAAGTCACAGAAATTTGGTCTATGGGGTAACGCAACTTATGAGCGAAACTGAAACTGAGCAAAGATCCTCTAAAAGCCAGAAGCAACAGTTTCCAAAAAGATCTGCAAGCAGTTGTGTCGAATTGAAAAGAAAACTAAGATGAAGATTGGCAAAAAATATCTAGAGAGAAGTTGCAAAAAACCAGTACAAGCTAAAATAAATGTAGCAGATTTGAAATGAACATTTGGAAGTTAGCATAATTTTGACATTTCTCAATTGAACATTCAAATCTTTGTTATTTAACAAGACTGCGCGTATCAGGGCAAAGCCCTGAATGTTCCGACTGCCTTTTAAGGTTTATGGAGCAGTTATAACATAAATATCATTAACAAACTAAACGTAAAAAAAAATTTCCAAAATTTGAAACTTTTTCCATGAAAATCATCCCCCCACACGCCATATAAACTACAAAAGAATAGATTTCGCTCCTTGTAAAAAATCAATTATGGCAAATAAGCTTCTCTCAACCAATTTGGAACGATCTCTAAGACGGATTAAATCTCCGCTTACGCGTTAATAGCGCGAAATATATTGCGCGTTAATTGTCCCAAATTAGCCAAAATGGTAATCTTTAAACCCTCATAACTTTACAAAAAAAGATCACAGGTGAAATATCTTTTCAAATTTTAGCTCAGTACAACAATACCTTTTGAATGATATAAAAAAGTCCGTCAAAAATGGCTAGTTAAAAAGTCGAAATTTGTCTGAAGAAAAAAAAACCCACCCCGAGCACAAATATTCTGTTACTTTTGTATCGAAAGTCGGAACAATTAGCTTATAATTGTAAAATTTTATCACGTTTTATTTCAAGTTGCAGTTGTAAGGAAAGGCTATTCTAAGTTGATTTAAAGTAACTTTATTTTATTGTATATCTAAATCAAGTTTCTACTCAGACATGATCCGACACGCTTGCAGGAAATATTTCAGACCTAGGAAAAGCTTACTATTACATCTTGGGGTACTTTAATGTTTTATAGTACTTAATTTTACAAAAACAGAAGTTATTTAAATAAAAATATATATAAATAATTCATTTTATAAGTAAACGGGTACATCAGCAAACAGAGATCAGAATCTTGAAAATTGAATCCTTAATTGAAATCCATTAATTCAAAGCCATTTTTTATTGTGAAGTTTTGTCATTGAAAAGCCATATCTTTACACAATTCTCGAAATTTGCGCCAATAAGTGCGCTTAAGGTCGGAAATGATACCCCGCAATGATTTTTTGGACTTTTAATTGAAGTTTAATTTTTTGACTTGCTTTTTTATATATATATCTGTCTAAAGTGCAATTGGAAAAATGAACAAAACACAATACAAATGTTTTTAATCCTAAAATGTCTAGCAAAGATGGTCATTTAAAAAATTAAGATTTGAAGATCAACTTGTTCGAAATATGAATGAAAAGAGTTCGATGGCATTGAACAAGGAAAAATTAACTTTTAATCTTACCGACTGATGGTTTTGTAGCCATGCAAACATACATCAAAAGAAGGGTCTGTTTAAAGTCTCGGTAATTTAAAGCCCGTTTGGCTCTAGCTGCTAGATCAGATGCCATTTGAGAGAGCTGAGAAACTTAACAGTTGTTAATCACAGTTGGTAAGACAAGTGCTCAGTCGAATCAACAGCAGAACATGACAGCAAAATTAGCTGACAATAAAAGCAACGTGTTAGTTTTCAACGGCAGCTTGCTACAATTTACAAGTTTAGATGAAGTAGCTTCACTTAACATCAGCAATCTGATCGAACTGACGAACAATTTGTTTTTTGAGGCGTATAATTGCATCACACTGAAGCGCTTCTCGACAAAATATATATTTAATTTTTCAAATAATTTTTCAAAGTTTCAAAAAAATGAAAAGAGCGCTGAACAAAATTTTGAAGCGCCAAAAAGTTATTCAAAAAAAGTTTAATCCCTGATTAAATGGGAATTAGCGAATAGCCTGTTTTGTGTCGTAAATGACCCTTAGATTGGAAAAACAAAACAAAACAATTAAGGTTGATTCTTGTACAAAGAAAGGATTTGAAGCTAGCTCTTTTGTACATCAAATGGGCTGCCTGATCGCGTGAGATTAAATGGGCTACAAACACAAGAGCACTAATAGTGTAAATGTGGTTTCAACACTAAAATTGTATGGCCATTAGTGGATGGCGGGATAGACAAGGACACGGCCGGCGACCGGAGGTAGCGAAAAGTGAACGGATGAAAGAGGGACTGTGAATTGAAAGGGGGCATTTGAAGTGTTTGGAGATGCACTCTTGCCACTATGGATTGAGCAGTAGCGGCTATGGGGGACGAGAGAAAGAGAGCGAGGGGAAGAAGGGGGATGGGATTCGAGCTAAGTAAGACGCAGGACTGCGAAATGGGGAGGCCCCACAATTCATTTAGTTTGATTTGCAGCAAGATGCATTAAGTTAAGAGGCATGAACAGAAGATGATGCACACAAGTGTCCAAAAGGGGCAGCACAGGCCAGGAAGTAATAGTGAAGCCACATCGCAGCTGCAGGCTCAAACATCCCACCCATATTTGACATGTTCCCAAGTCCCAACCAAAAGTTGGATCAATCCATTAGAAGCACTGATGACATTTATCACCTGTCGCGCAGAGTTAGTTGGAGAAAATTAATGAATTAGCTGTCACTTATTTAATTTGGAAGTATTCGCTTCAAAATCCGGCGGAAAAAGGCTCGATAGAAAAACTTACTCTTTCGTTTCTTCTTCAATCTTTTTTGGAGACTTCGATTTTTTCGCGGAGTACGACCAAAGACATCAAAGTCATGTTAAGATTTTTTTTTGCAAATGAAAGGACATACACACCAAAAAAAAATTGCGAATGGCTGGAATGTAATAAGGGTGGGAAGAAAAATCTACAAGCAGCCATATGAAAGAAAGGTGATAATAAGCAGACCTAAAAGTTATCCAGATATACTATAGTTCGTGTTCCTGTTGTTATCAGCTTCCGAAGGTTTGTCATGTGTCAACCTGATAGGTGTCAAAATGGGGCAAGCCAAAAATGGGGTAAGTTACTGTTCCTGGATCTACCTCCAAATGAAAAAAAAACGTATCACACAATTCCATTCATGGAGTGTATGGAAGTTGCTTGTCATACAATCATGCAAAACTTTAGAAACCTTTCATGATTGTTTGCAGGTAATTTTTTAATGCTGAATAATTTAATTGACATTTGTTGCTGAATGAGAGCCCTAGGTTTGTCTAAAACTTTGATTTTCTATTGCAATGAATAAAAACAATCAAAATTTTATTTTAAAAAAGCTTTTAATGAAGTTAAAGTCAGGCAGAGGAACCCCTACAAGTTATTAGGGCCATAGAGTCGGTAGCGTCGGTAAACATCAAAGCTTTAATTGCGAAAATATTTGCGACTCAAAACGAAACAACCTGCAAGCTGCTAAATGCGGTTTAGGTTTGAACAGAAATGATCCTGCCGATAGCCCAATCCGATCAACATGATTCAAAATTATTAACCAAAAATGAATATATTTCTCCAAATTTGATTTTGATCTGGAAAATAATCTCGCTAAGAAAAGATTAATTGGCTGAGGTTAAATGAATTACTGAATAAAAACTGGTTGTGACCAAAACTTTGATCAATCTAATCTACGTTTTTACAAATGGCAATCATTTTAAACTAAATTTTAACTAATTTTTCGAACCATTTAAAGTTTGTCGTTTTTTTAACTGTCGGCATACAACGCAAAGTCTAAAGGGTTTGCCAACCCCTAGTCCCACCAAAGGAGCGATTGTTCCGTGATTAAATTGATATAGACAGCTTTTTTCAAATGTGAGTCAAGTCAATGCGTTTTCTTACGTATCCGGGAGGTTACAACTAGACGTCTTTTCTCAAAAAAATGACAAGCATCATTCTTGCGATTACTTTTGCGATTACTTTCCAAATACACGGTGTGAACCACTAAAATATGACTGTATGCCATAATGCCAGCCCTCCATAGCTTTTGTAGTTCTTGCCAAGCTCTCCCTCCGGTCCTTGATTTTTTTCAAAACTATTCGAGCATCAGGTTTTCCCGTAGATATGTCGTGATTAAGCTCACCCCTCGTTTGAAAAAAATTTTTGCCCTCTGTAGTTGCTGTTGCTCGGCATTTATGAGTCTGGTATTTTGAGCAGTTTCAGTTAGTAGCGGTTTTGTTCTTACGCTTAAGATAAAACTCGTGGCTAAAATTGATACCTTTAATACCAGTAATATTTGTTTGTGTTTGGAGGATAAAGTAAAATGGAAGGACGCTTCAAACATTTTAGCTCATAGAATGGTGAAACAATCTTTCTAGTGTAAGGCAGTGTGATTTTATGTACTTTTTTTTTCAATTTCTTGAGTTGTTTTCAATTAGCACCGTGCAGGTTGTCTCTGTTTTAAACGCGTGAATGAGGGGTTATTTCTCTAACTAACCGAAAAGCAGTTATTTTTGAGATGCTAGAGGCATTAAGTGATGTAAGACTGGCTTTTCAGGCCTCAATTAGTATACATAAGTCGAATACTGCTGTACTTATAAAAAGTTTGAAACAATTTATCGGTATTAAAAGGGGGTTAAAATGTTGTGGGGTTTTTGTTACGGGATTATAAATAAGTGGGTGTAAAAACTGGGGGTTAAATAACGTGGGGTTAAAGAGCTGGACACCGCTATGGCGATTCCCTTAAATCCAAGGAAAGTGTGAGAGCAATTGAGGAAATTTTAATTAGGTTTGAGAAACGGTGGCAGTGATCCATTGCATTGACGTAAATGTGTGCAAGTTTCGTGCAAAAACTTAATCGTTGATTTAATCGTAAATCAGAAAAAAATAGAAAAAAAACGCATTTAGGGGGGGACGCTTTCTTATTAGGGATTCTACCCCCTGCCGACCCAAGGGTCCCCCTTTGAACTCTTTTGAGATATCCATTTTTGGCTGACGTACCCCAAATTTTTTCTAAATGCGCCGTTTTGAGGAATTGTGTGCACGTTCCACCAAGTATTTTCAAATTAATGTCGTTTTTTTTTTCGGCGTGGTGTGATAAAAGAAGCTAAACAAAAAACTAGGGGCTAGGTTCATTCGCTAGCATTACTAAAATAAGCAAATTGAGAAACAATTTTTGTAGAAAAACTACTAGAAAAACGAAAAACGAAAATTTTTAGAACATTTTTGTCAAGTTCTTGGGAGTTTTTTGAGTTTTTGAAAAATTTGATTCCCAAAAGTCACTAAAATACTCAAAGTAAATTAACGTTCCCAATTAAAATTTTTACGTTTTAACTAAAGCTATTGTAAGCTTTTTAGCAATTGATCACTAAAAATAAAACTGCTCGCTCGCTTTATTCGCTGAAATAAGACAAAAAATCAAAAATTTAAAACCGGTTTTTCCCGACACCGGAATTATTTTTCAAACTTTTAATGTGATTTCAATCACAGTTGTTAGAGTTTTGTTATGACATATCACTCAACCTAGATATATCACTCGAACAAAAAGTAGAAAAAACTAAAACTCACCCGAACACAAATTGAAAATTTTTCATATGTCGGACTAATTATGCATCATTCTTATACAATCTACAAGAAATGAAATGTTCTATCTGTAGAAAAATTTGCTCAAGAAACGAGTTGGTGGAAACAAGACTGATCATGTATATAAGGGCAAGCCCGCAACAGTCTAATTAACTTTAAATCTGAAGAAAAAAAAACTTTGCATCAAAACAATCAATAAAATAGTCGAACAATTTTTTGGAGATGTCATTCGTCGGAGATGTCTGTAAAATAACGGGGATATCATTCGTCTTTTTTTTTTCATTTTTGTCCTGTTTTTACTGCCGTCTTACCGTCTTGTGTAATCAGGGCCAAATTGCTGGTTTATTCATTTTGGTATAGATGACTGCGTATGGGATCAATCCCACAAATTTGGGATTGCTTGCACTAGACTAAAGTGCGATTTGGCCGCTCGAATAATACATTCATAGTTTGCTTAATACGCAAATAATTTATGCGTCGCAATTTATCCGCACGCGTAATCGCTCCAAATTAAATTGAGGAATTTTGATTAGTATGATTAATTCCAAAAACGACTCAAAATTTCATAGTATGATATTATCAACCTAAAATTCATGATGTGTCAAGTTTTCATTTATCAAAAACTCTTCGGGACTAATTAATGGGTAATCGCAACATTCAGGGCTTTGCCCTGATACGAGCAGTCTTGTTAGGCTAGCCGTTAACGCGTGTGACATGAACGGAAAACAATTTTCAAGACTCAGCTTAAAATAACGAGGTTCGTTAGATAGTTATCAAAATTTGTCAAAAACGTTGAGTTCAAAAGTGAAAATTGAAAAAACCCTGCGCATACGTTTTCCATCATTTTCAAAAGTCAGAAAAACAAAACAATTTACTCGGGAAATTTAAAAAAAAAAATTGTTGTTTATATTGCAGAATTGAGACATTTTTAACAGACCCATTTAAAGGACAGATAAAAGACAAGATTATTTAAGCTCTACTTGAGTCAACAGATAGAAAAAAAACATAACTCAATCGTTTTATTCGAGAGTGTCCAAGTCAAAAAATCATCGTTTCTTGATGTTTTGGGAAATTATTGAACATAAAAAACAATGAAATGTAAATTTTTTATCAAGTTTTGTTCTGAAAATTTTCCCCTAACACTCTACTTAAGGTACAAAATGATGTAATTAGCCTGAGGGTCTTGGAAGAAATTTATAGTTTCAAATGGTTGGCTAGATTCAATTTTAAAAAATTTCTGGGCCGAATAAAAATGTGGCTCATTCGTTTTTAGAACGAAGTATAACGCGAGTTAAATGAAAACTTTCAAACCGTCTTCATTTTATCAAAAATAATCAGGTGATTTTTTTTTATTTAGGCTGAAAGCGTCAATGTTTCTCAGATAATATAAAAAATTAATTTCAAAAGAGGCTTGTTAAAATGCAGTAAATTGTCTGAAAAAAAAAACAAAAACAAAATTACAAATAATTCATTCTCTCAAGATTCGAAGCAATAAAGTTTTTTTTTGGTTAGATAAAATTGAAATCCAGTTGATGAAATTGGGGTCGCAATATTGTTCGGAGACCAGAGCTTTGATGCTGCTGCAAAAAGACCTTTTTGTAAAGTAATTTTTAGTCATTAATAAGTTTTTCAGAAAATTTTAGGCTAGTAGTGCAAATATTTTGGTTGCAAGCTGCGCGCATAATGCTAACTATGCTATAGCAGAATTCAAACAACTTATTTCAGCAAACAAATCAAAAAAATTCTTTTTGAACTCTCCGCTATTCGGAATGATGTTTTGGTATAATAGATCACAAAGTTTTTCCAATTCAGCTTCTATTCTAGGAATTTGAAACATCTCTTTCATTTTGATACAGAGATATTTACTTAATCTTGGACTAATGCGCAAAAAAAATGTTCACAGCTGATTATCAGAAGTTATTTTACGCGGTGCGCAATTCGTAAAAATGTTTCAGGTCATCCAAATTGGTTTTTCTAGCTCTTCAAAAACGTCAAAATGCTGTTCTAGGATACTTACTACAAGTAAAAAAAAAAAACAAAATCAGTTTTTGTGCAGTTTTTTGGAGGCGCGTCATTTCATTAAAATTTTACTATTAGCGCAATAGATGCTCCTAAAAAACTTTTAGAGTCGGTCGCTACAAATAGATGTCGCAAAAAAGTACCAAAGGAGCTAGAAAGTGTTCTAAACAGGGACAGAAGGATTAGGGGTAAAAGTATCAAAAAACAAGAATTAAATCTAATGTAGCAAACATAATTTTTAACCAGATTGTTCAACTTTTTGAAGAAAAAGACAATGTATGATTTGCTTGAGACGGTTTTCTAATATGTGAAATTCAGTTTTTGATCAGGTGTTTTTGATGAATCGTTCTATACAATCTGAATACGTGGAAATTGTGTTGAGTTTTCCCATGTAGAAAATTTAGCCCGCAATATGTTTCATTTCCCATTTTAATCGAGGCCAGCGTTTTTTTTTTATACATTTCGAGACGCTGAATACATCCTTTTGTATTTTACATATTTTGCGGGGAGAGGAAGCAAAATGAGGACTCAATTTCAGAAGTAAAAAAAACTCAATTTTTTTCCTTTTTTAATCATTTTTTTCCAAAATTTTTGATTTAAGATTTATAGAGTCGGAACTCTCAGAGTTTTGCTTAGGTAAATAAGCAACTTCATTACAATGCTTTATTTGGTTTTTTCGAATAATCGTGTTAAAAAACGCTATAAAATCAGACATTGTGTCCCTGCATCCATTGTGCTCAAGCATTAGGCAGCAATATTTCAACCTTCTGATTCAAATGGCAGATTAATACGAAGGTTACAAATATCAGTTAATTGATGCCATTTGTAATTTGATCGAAAAAAAACAATGCATTTTCAAATAGTAATTTAAGTTGACAAAATAGTATTTAATAGTAATTTTGTCAATCAATTAGCCCTACCAACTAAAAAAACCTTAGTTTGAAGTGCACAAAGCATGCGCAAGCAACGAGAACACCTTTTACCAGTCTTCCGAAACTCATGAATGAATTATTCTCTACTTTCGGCAACCCGGACGTGCAAAGTATTGTGCTTGGAAAATCAATTTTTGTTTGGCTGAAGGAACTTTCAAATCACTCCTGAATTTTTTCATCAAGTTCACTCCATACAGTTAAGTCTGTAAGAAATAGCGCCACTGGCATATATGCCGTAATGCTTGAATGTACGCGCCCTCAATCCTGTGCTTATGCTTGAATATAAACGCGTAAATTAGATATTATTTCCTAAATTTATCAAAGTGAAAATTTTTTGAGATGTTAGAGGCATCAAGCTATTCGAGAAAAAATTCTCTGACCTCAATTAGTAACACTTAATCAGAATATTACTATAATTATAAAAAGATTTAATTTGAAACAAACTATTGCTATTAAAGGGGGTTAAATTATTATGGGGTTATTCTGTTACGGGGTTATAAGTTAGGGGGGTGTGAGCATAATGGGTTAAATAATAAATTCATGCCCCACACCAATAAATTCATGCCTTGTTTTCTTGAACCTTTTTGTGGGGTTAAATTTTCAACAAGAAAAAATACTTATTAAATTTTACTATTTTTATTATAACATTTTATCTGATATCTTCATGTAATAAATTATAAATAATATCTAAATAATAAATTCATGCACCACACCAATAAATTCATGCCTTGTTTTCTTGAACCTTTTTGTGGGGTTAAATTTTCAACAAGAAAAAAATACTTATTAAATTTTACTATTTTTATTATAACATTTTATCTGATATCTTCATGTAATAAATTATAAATAATATCTAAATAATAAATTCATGCACCACACCAATAAATTCATGCCTTGTTTTCTTGAACCTTTTTGTGGGGTTAAATTTTCAACAAGAAAAAATACTTATTAAATTTTACTATTTTTATTATAACATTTTATCTGTTATCTTCATGTAATAAATTATAAATAATATCTAAATAATAAATTCATGCACCACACCAATAAATTCATGCCTTGTTTTCTTGAACCTTTTTGTGGGGTTAAATTTTCAACAAGAAAAAAATACTTATTAAATTTTACTATTTTTATTATAACATTTTATCTGATATCTTCATGTAATAAATTATAAATAATATCTAAATAATAAATTCATGCACCACACCAATAAATTCATGCCTTGTTTTCTTGAACCTTTTTGTGGGGTTAAATTTTCAACAAGAAAAAAATACTTATTAAATTTTACTATTTTTATTATAACATTTTATCTGATATCTTCAACTTTTTTATCATCAAAAATTACCTAAGATCAGGGAAGGATTTAGGGGGAGGGCGGTGGATAAGCCCCCTCCCTCAAGGCTTCGAACCCCTGCCGACCCAAAGGTTCCCGCCTTTGGTACCTTTTTTGATATCCATTATGGGTCGACCGACCCTTAATTTTTTCTATATGCGCCTTTGGCACAAATGTTTACAATCTTTGAGGGCGAGCGTGCCAAAAAAGCGAGTTTTGAATTTTTTGGTCAGAACATGGTTTTTAGTGCTTTAGGGGAGCTTTGAAAAATAATTTGATTGACCTAAAAAAAATAATCATCTGATTTTTGAATATTTTTTCAAGAATCCGCCCCCCCCCCTCGAAAAAATCCTAGATCGCCCATGCCTAAGATTCTTTTTGATCAAAATTTTTTTTCCGTATAAAAAATTAATTCAATGTTCTATAGCTAAAATTTTCTCCGATTATTTTTAGCGACCAATGGATCCTTTAGCGACCCCTCTTTGTCAAGGCTGCTTGTATTGAAAGAAAGAGTTTTTGTTTTTAACGAGAGTAGTAATTTTTCAAGGACATTACGAGGCCAAACTGTGCATTCTCTGCATTGTAAGCGGAACCCGCAACAGGCCAAAATCAGATTTACAGCGGAATCCGCAACATTGCTACTTTTCTCCGATCTTCTTTGCTGTTTTGGATTCCACAAACCAATACCTAAATCATTGTACCGCTCAAAATTGCTCAAAAAGTAGGCAAATTTGCGAAATCCGCAATTGTATTTGCGGAATCCAGAACAGTTTGAGGAATCCACAAGCAAATGATAAAACTTTGTATCGTTAATTTGAGCTGTTGCAGAATCCGCAACTGTAAGTGGAATCCGCAAATTGTAAGTGGAATCCGCAAATTGTAAGGGGAATCCGCATTTTGTTTTTGGATTCTCTTTACATATATTTATTTGTGTAGTAGCCTTTAAAATTATATCTTTTAAATACATGATTTGAATTCACTAGAATAGAAATTGACTAGAATAGAAATTTATTAGAATAGATCAGTATTTGGGATCGATGAAATCCCAAATACTGAACTAATTCGACGATTTGCTATGCGTTGGATTTCTTATCACTCTCAACCTAATGACTCCAAGTAATGGATATATTCCATATTTATTCCACATTATACCAGTTTTTGGGATTCTATCAATCCCAAATATTGACCAGTATTTGGGATCGATGGAATTCCAAATACTGACCTAATTTGGCGATATGCTGTGTGTTGTGTTTCCATACGCTCTCAACTCAATGACTACACTTACTGCATTTATTCGGCGTTATGCTTCCAAAATCAGTCATTGGGATTGACGCAATCCCGAATACTGACCTAATTTGTCGATATGCTGCGTGTTCCATAGACTCTCAACTCAATGACTCCAAATTTTGAAATTGTTCGGTGTTGGGTTTCCAAAATACTAAAAGATGACATCCACCGATTTAGGTAACCAATGTTTTAAGACTTATTCGTGGATTTCGCTGACAGTGGCTAAGTCTTTGCTTTTAAATTCCGCATTGCTAGAGAAAATAATTCCAGCTCAGCTTTTAATTGTTCATGTGCAAGTTCAGTATTGAACAAAATTCGTAATCCACTTACAGTTAACGGAATCCAGTTTTATTTGCGGATTCCGCTAACATTTTGCGGAATCCACTTACAGTTGCGGAATCCAGAACAACTAGCTATAGTTGCTTGTTGCGGAATCCGCAACAAAAAAAATATGCCGACAAAATTTACGTTACAGGTATATGTATGTGGAATCCACTGAAATTTTGTTTGTGGAATCCAGTTACATTTTGGAACATATTTTAAGACTTGTCTCTGGAATTCAGGAACATACAGACACAACATTGTGCTCCTATCCAGTGCACAGTTCGGCCTCGTAATGGAATGCCTGCAGCAGACCCGAGTGAAACGTTTTTCGCTTTTAAAACTAGCAAGACACCCAGTAACAACAGCCATATTGTTTTTTTTGATCAACAAATGAGGAAGCCATAATGTTTTTATGAGGAAACAAAATGGGACAGAATTGAAAATATTGTGACTTAAAAAATGAACAAAGGAAGCTCCAAATGAAAAGTTTAATTCATTGCGAAATAGATGATGTGAACTATGAGAACTAAACAGAGCATTATAACACCAAAAGTAAAATCGCATATGGCGCAGAGGTCTCGCCGTGTCTGCTTCTGCGACTCTTTGTTGAAATCGTCTGGACGTCTCTCGATAGTTTCCCGAATCTCCAGATCATTCATTTCTATTATTTCTATTGGTATGTCAATATTTGTTTGAGCATCTGTCTTAGCCGATCGCGAAGAGTCTTTTCCTAAAAATCAAACATTATGCAGAGGAGAGTCTTCGCTGTTAGATGGCTCGTTAGAATACCCGGGCGGAGGTTGTGGTTGTATAATTACTTTAAGCCGTTTTCCAGACACCAGACAAAGTCTGGAAAGTCACAGACCTCGACCAGGGTAGTACCGCAAAACAACTAGTGAATGAGGCCATTGAAAATTCCAGGCTTGCATCTATACTTTAGAGCCCTTTGTACAATTCGTAACAGGCGACAATTCGTAACAATAATTTAAGCGACAAACACTAATCTCTGCGCACTATTCCTCCTCATGCCGAATGTAAGTGCAGCGGAGCGCCATGTTACGAGTTAATCTTTTGTTACGAATTGTCGCTGATGTTAGCTAAAGGATGCTACTTCTTACTTTTGATGATTCTGCGGTAGATTGATGTGAAGTCGTTGTGGAAGTAGTTGGTGATGGCACAGTTATACACAAGCGACATTCCAATCAGTCCAATTGTGACCAAAAAGTATTTGCCTGAAAGTATTCGTCTAGAAAAGATTTCCAATTTGCACATTTAGTGTCCCATCATAAGCCTTGTAATCTCCTATATATCATTCCCTTTAAACCCTTTAGGTGTCTTTATGCGTCGAAAATTAGCGTCTTTTTTAGGGTTCACTTGCTTTTATTAACATTGCTCATCAAATACTCTTTAAATTTTCTGCATACCAGTAACTTTACCTAGTTTTGGGAAATGCAGCGATGAAGCTGGAAGGATACTGGACAGGATGAGTAGATTGACCACCTGAGCGAGCATGAGTGTCATTCCCAGACCGATCTTCTCCCCACTTTCCACCGGAAGGAACACAGACAGCACGTTCAAAGCTACAAAATTGATAGAAAAAGAGGAGAAAGGAAGTAATCGGTAAAAACCTGGATGAAATTCAGTTGCAAGGTCTTCTATTTTTTTTCAAAATCTACTCAAGTATAAATATAATTATATTTTTTTGTGGAAAAAAGTGAGTTTATGGAGGACTTCAAATGAAGAATTGCCGAAAATGGTTCTGTATTTTGACTCGCAAATAATCTTCATATTAGCTAACCACATGAACACAATCTTGAAATCTTAACTTGATCGATATATAACACAACATGCGTAAAATACCCGTTAGCAAAGAGCAGGGAACGATTAGGGTGTTGATGAAGAAGGTGGATCGTCGCTTCATGTAGATTGTGTATCTGAGCATGGGGAACACAGTCTCTCGCCCACTGAATCTGTTCCGTGTGCTTTTCTCAGCTGACATTCTAACCACCTCCCACTGCGAGTTGGGAGCGTATGCTCTCAAAATCAAGTCTGCGAAAATGAAAAAAAAAACAGCAACTTTTAGCAGGAGTGGCCATTTGGTGCAATTTTGGCACAGAAAAATCTGGTTACAATAATTTGCACGAAAAAGGAAAAATTCGGAAAAAAATGAACTTTTTATCGTTTCTTTTGTGCGCGCGAAATTGCAAAAATTGCAAAAATTAAACTAACTTGGTCTTTTTCAATATATATTGTCGAACTTTTTTTTAGTTGACCCTTTTGATTTTCTGAGTTCTCCCGAATCACTATAAAGACCCCATTTTGAAAAAAAAAACAAGCCAAAAAAAGTGTTTTTATGGACTTTATGGAAAGTTTTGACCAAAAAATGGCGTATTTTTGACGCGCGCTTCCCCCTCAAAATTAATAGATATTGGCGTCGAAGGCGCTCTTACAAAATTTTTAGGGTCCATCGCCAAAAATGGATATATTAATATTTACAAAGGGGGACCATTTCGGTCAGCAGGGGTTGAATCCGTGAGGGAAAGCGTCCGCCCCGCTCTCCTAAATAATGTCCGCCGGTATAATAATGTAAAGCAATTATGGCTTAAAAGCAATCAATAAGAGAGACTTTGCTCTAAAATAGTCACAAACCACAATTTGGAACCATTTTTCCAAAAAACTTTTTCACGGTTTGAACCAATAATATTCCTTTATAAGAGCTTAATTCCTAAGATCGGCGCCAGATATAGTCACAAATCAAAGTTTCCGGCCCAGTTTTATTAAAACGGAGAATTTTTTGGAGATTTTTAAACGTCAATCAAATCACAAAAAGAATCTTTATTTTGTGTATCTTCACATTGTCTCAAAAAGTAAATGGACTTTTTCCAAATTGATCTGGAAACAATTAAAAAACACCTTGTAACGTAAAATTTGTAACGTAAATTAGCGCGGAATCCGCACAGAGCGATGAAATCAAAGAAACTAGTAACCTTTTTGAAAAACTGTAAAAGAGATCCAAACTTTCTAAACCAACTTTTATTCGATGCCCATAAGGGGCAGTTTGAACATCCAGGGCGTTGCCCTGATAAAAGAGCAGTCCCGTTCGCGTTTGTTATCACTTTATTAAGCTCGTTTTATCGCTTTCGCTTAAATTCTTTGATCGGCCGCATTCGCCTTAAGTCGGGCAATGCTATGATTATGGATAGCTTTGATATCAAGAAACACATCAAAAACTTTATCTTCGAGCATCCTGTCACAGCTTGCTAACGCCCGGAGCAACAAACCTCTGCAAAACAATTCTTGACAAAAAAAAATTATTTTGACACAGGCAAAGCTGAGCTTCGCACCACTTGCGATACAACAATTATACAATGCAACAGAATGTGAAATTAGCATCGGAAGAAAATTCACCAAGCGGTAACGAAGCCGAAATTACCTTAGCAGAAAATTTTTAAGCCAAAAAAAAATCAACGGGACTTACAAAAAAAGAGCAAATCCCCCTCGCCCTCAACACAAAAATAAAACACTTTAAATTCTCGTCAAATGAACCGAAATGAGGCCACTAAGCAGATATAATACAAACCCAAACAAAATAAGACAAAAAAGAAGGAAAATAAAAAAAAAACGAAACGAAACGAAATTCAACAATTTTTAACAACTCAAAAAACTCGAATTTATCGGAAATAACATCTGCATCCTTTGAGTGTACTCTGACAGCACCGATTACCAGGGTTGGTGAGTTCAGAATTTTTTTTAATTAGTTTTTTAAATTCAAAATTCGAAAAAACTTATAATCTTGAAATTTTTTTTATATCAAAGTTTATGATAAATTAAGAAACGTCACAACTCGAAAGCTAAAAGCAAATGAGCAGTAGCATTTGGACGCAAGATTTGCAACTTCTGAGAGTTCTCTGGCAGCCCCCAACTACAGGGTTCGGAATTTCAAATTTTGGAAAAAAAATTCAAACTTTCTGAAAATTTTTTCGAAAAATCACTAAAAAAGTCCCATCTGGAAAACTACAAATATTTGAGGAGTCAATTTTGGAGCCAAGATTGGTAGCAACTCCTGATAGTACTCTAACAGCCCCATACTAAAGGTTGGAATTTCAAATTTTGAAGAAAAAAAACTTAAGTTTTCTGAAAATGTTTTTTTTTTGAAAAAATCTGAAAAAATGTCATATCTCGAAGCCTTAAGGATTTTAGAAATCATATTTGAAAGCTAAACTTCCAATTCCTGGGAATAATCTAACAGAGCATTACTATAGATAGGAAAACTAAGAGCTTTGTTAAATTTTTTATACCTAATTTTTCTTAAAAATTTAGAAAAAAAATCCTGAAAAAACGTCATATCTCAAAAAGTACAAGAATTTGAGCAGCCATATTCATAGGCCAGATTTGCAACTCCCTGAGAGTAACCTACCATATTCCAATAACACGATTGATATCTTCAAAGTTTTGGAACTTTTTTTTAACATCTAATTTTTTTTTAATTTAGGAGAAAATCATAAAAAACGTCATATCTCGAAAACTATAAGGATTTGAGCAGTCTTATTGGAAGGCAAAAATCGTAACTCCTGAGAGTACCCTGACAGAGCCTCCTTACAGAGATGATAATTTCACAATTTGCGAAATTTTTTATACCTAATTTTTCTGAAAAAAAAATTTGAAAAAAATCCCTAAAAGCGTCCTATCTCAAAAACTACAAGAATTTGAGCAGCTGTATTCAGAGGAAACATTTGCAATCCCCTGAGAGTACCGTAACAGATTTTAATTAGAGGATTGAGATCTTCATACTTTCGGAATTTTTAAACATTTCAATTTTTTTGAAAATTTCGGAGAAAATCATAAAAAACGTCATATCTCGAATACTACAAGGATTTGAGCAGTCATATTTGGCGGCGAAATTCGCAACTCGTGAAAGTACCCTGACAGAGCCCCACTACAGAGATGGTAATTTCAACATTTGTGGAATTTTTTTATATCTAAGTTATCTTAAATTTTTTGAAAAAAAAATCCGAAAAAACGTCATATCTCGAACACTACAAGGATTTCAGCAGCTATAATCAGAGGCAAGAGTCGCAACCTCTGAGAGTACCCTCACAATATCCAACAGTATCCAACAGATGAAGTAAACAGTGAATTAAACTGGAAATCGAAAAAAACTTAACCATTGCCATATACGATAAAGCTTAAGCGTGAAAAAATTCTTTTGTTAAACATGCAAAAAGAATACGTTGAAAAAGCTTAAACATGGCGAGATCGTGAAGCCCGCATTTAAATATATAAGAGAAAATATAAAAATTTAAAAATTAGGCGACGGGTAGACAGACAATCAAATTAATTAAAAAAGCAGACAGACACACTTAATTTGGCCTCGAAAAAAAATACTGAAAAATTAATGACCTTGCGGAAAATTGATTGAAAAATTTTCTTAAGCATTGCAATATATGATATCGCTTTAACATGAAAAAATTCTCCGTTAAACATGCAAAATTATTATGCTTAAACATGGGAGATAGCTGTCACTCGCATTTAAATATAGTATAGATTTTGGCATGATACAAATTAGTTTAGCACTTGAAGCTGTTTTTCTGGGTTTGCCATTCATCTCTGGATTTCACAACAACAAAAATGGAACAAAAAGTGTCCTTTTTGCGACTCTTACGACCATCTTGATCTCTGGCTGTTGCGAAACTTTCTTGCAAATCGCAAAAAAATGCAGATTGGCTTCGTAAGTCACTAGCAGCAGAAGAGTCTGATTACACTCTAATAACAAAGCTCCGAAAATGAAAAAAATAAATCAGCACTAGGAGCTATTTTTCTTACGATGAAAAAACAACAGCATTGGGAGCTGATTTTTTATTCTTTTTTTAAAAAATTTATCACTTTAATTAGTGTTATCGGACTATGCTGTCGCTTACTTGTAGAATCCTGGGATCAATATTTAAGGTTCTAAAATGAGAAAAATTCTGAAATTGTAAAAATTCTCAAATTGTATCTGTAAAAGATTTTCAAAATTGACGCGAAGCCCAACAAGTACATTGTACCTTAAAATTTATAACGCAAATTAGTTGTGTCGCCTAATTTTAACAGAGAGCTAATATCGAAAAAATGATTGACAAGATAAAAATGAGTTTAATAGTTGAGTCTGCTTTTTGATTTTGCAATAACTCACAGCAGCAAAATATCAACAGACAATTCGTTGTTGCGAAATCGTCGATCAGGCAATTTTCTGTCTGTTGTTAAAATTTTTTTTTTACATATTGCAAAATGTAAAGTTTAGCCTCGTAAAGCACAAGCAGCGGAAGAGTCTGATTACACAAAGTCTATCAACAAAGCTATCAAAATGAAAAGAAGGGGTGATTTTTCTTATGATAAGAAAGTTAGCCCCCGGGGCTGAAATTTTGTTTTTGTTTCAAACTTTGTCTGTTTGGCTAATGTATTCAGACTTCAAACTTCAAACTTTGTCTGTTTAGCTAATGTAATCAGACTAATCTGTCGTTCAATTTCGAAGCAGATGCGGATTCACATAACACTCTGGTTCACAGGAAGCTCTAATTTAAATGTCGATGGCTTAAACTGGTGAATTAAAAAGTAAAACGCTAAGGAGTGAGTGACTTCATACATTTCAATTAGACTGAAACAAATATTTATAAGAATTATCAAAACAATTTTTTTCTCAAAAAAAATTGTTTTCATTTTTTCATAAAGATTTGGACCAAAAACTTTAAGGGCGTTAACATACTATCAAACTAGATGCTGTGCGATTGTTTTACTTATAACTAAGCAAAAAAAGAAATCCTACGCCATAGTTGTTTTTTTTTGAGATTGATCGGTACCCCAAATGATTGCTCTGGAATATCACAGAGCGTTTTGTTTCTATACCAAACAAACAATCAGGTTAAAATTACGTTTTAAGTGAAATACGTTTTGCTGATTTCATTCAACTCGTATATCGATAAGAAAAGTTAGATGACTAATTAAATTCATTTTTTCAAAGTTACCGCAGTTTTAAAATTGAACCTAAAAATTTTAACATTTTTTTGTTTCAAAATACTTTCCGTAATTATAAGTCAGGTTTGCAGCTTTAACTTTTACTAGTTTTTCAAAACAATTTCAAAAATTAAGCAGGTCAGCTCATATATC